AAGAGTCGCCGGAATCGAACTGCTACAGGCAAGCAACGGGCACAGCATAGAGCATACTACTGACACTCTCCCCGTAAAAGTCCGAGAGGTGACACCGGGGTGCGAAAAAAAAGAAAAGAACGACATGAGTAAGTTGTCTTTTCGCACCGGGGACAGCGAGATCTCACCCGGTGCGATCCCACCGACTCTCAAAACCCCAGATTGAGCTCGTTCTGACCTGCCGTAAAGAGGCACTTTTGAGCCCGTGTTACACGTTTTCACCGTGGCAACGGAGAGCCACTCCTTCATGTACGTATGTACGGTCGGCGCGGTTAACGCGGGATAGCCTGTTGTTTCCATTTACTCGGTGTATCAAAGTTGCGAAGCGTACACCACCCAAGTACACAACGTACAAGCCGTAACCTTACAACCTTACAACCGTAACCTACCCCCGCCTAAGGCAAGGGAGTCTAAGGTGCTGCTGCTCGTGACTGGTTCCTTCGTAGAGGAAGACTGAAAAATGAAAGCGATGGACAACCTGACAACGTATGTACCGTTACCCCAGATGGAAACTACACCGTTTCTTGCCCTTGTCACACCTTCGCCAGACTCGCGTTCAAATCCATGACCACTCGCTGCACGGAAAGCTATCAGGCAAAAGTTGAATGCAACCATGGGTACGCACATAAGTCATGCACCCATGCTCTTTGGAAAGCCCGAAAACACCACCTGCAGGCGAAAAAAAGGGGAAAATCTTCCGAGACTCGGACCCCTGCCCTGCCATTATGCATGCTGTGGATGTGTCCTTCCAACCAGCGACTACATGGTTTTCAATCAATGGCAATTTTTGTGCTTCTAAACTCTAGATGCTCTGCTTTGGCAGGGTCACGAAACCGGATAAAAACCCTAGCGCTAATCCTAACCCCAACCCCAAACCCACCCGATAGGTGCTAGGTTGGCGCGGGGTGACTCAGTTCTAGGTTGTTCTGCCTGCATTAGGACTGGGTTGGTGATGACGGGGAAAACTCTAGGTTGTTACTGCTTGGATAGGTGGTAGATTGGCGTTGATGGGATGAATCTAGGTTGGTATTGCCTGGGTAGGTGCTAGGTTGGTCCTGACGTGGCTAGGTGCTAGGTTGGTGGGCCTTGGAGTAGGGCTAGGTCGCTCTTGGGTGGTAAACGGTGTTCGTGCAGGTCTGTATAGGCGGGACTGCCAAGTTATGGGTGCATGGCTTAGGAGTTTTCACCTGATTTCCTTTCCCAAAAAAAACGACATTTCAGGATGGGCAATAATCCGGCTGGAAAAAAGTCTGGCCGTTCTTACAGTGAGCCGGATTCCTGAGGCGGAGTCTTGGGGGGTGAGTGTAGATCAACCCAGACGACATTATCATCGAGTGCGACCCGAACTTCTTGACATATCGCTCANTAGGTCGCTCTTGGGTGGTAAACGGTGTTCGTGCAGGTCTGTATAGGCGGGACTGCCAAGTTATGGGTGCATGGCTTAGGAGTTTTCACCTGATTTCCTTTCCCAAAAAAAACGACATTTCAGGATGGGCAATAATCCGGCTGGAAAAAAGTCTGGCCGTTCTTACAGTGAGCCGGATTCCTGAGGCGGAGTCTTGGGGGGTGAGTGTAGATCAACCCAGACGACATTATCATCGAGTGCGACCCGAACTTCTTGACATATCGCTCACATCAAGGGCTCACAGCAACCCTACGCTGAAGGGCTTGCTATTCTGCACGCTGGCTGTTGATGGTCGCTCGGCACGCGTGCGTAAAAGAAACATATCGCCTCACACCAAGCGTGGGGGACGCCGAAAGAGGCCAAACCACCACGAGACAGCAAGAAGAGCCGCTTATCGTCAGAGAGGGGAGGACACCGCAACTGATTTCTCGCTCCCTACGCCACCGATCGAAGCCAGACCGGTCAGGGCGAGTTCCCTGTTCCTTTCTCTCTGCCAGAGTAGATGTGCTCGGCAGCGCGTACTCTCGGTAGACGGAGAGAAGCATGCGCGTGGTGCCCGTTGCCTTTTCGAACTGTGATTCTTTTCTGGTCTGCTTCACTTGAGAACAGAGTCATGTGTTGAAGGCCGGGAAACAATTTTCAACAGGCAGCTTGTGCACACGCAGACGACGATTTCGAATGATTGGATCAACGAGCTTCCGAGCAACTCTACCCCGGCAGAGAGCAAGGAACAGAGAGCACGCCCTGACCGGTCTGGCTTCGATCGGAGGCCTAGGGAGCGAGAAATCAGTTGCGGTGTCCTCCCCTCTCTGACAAAAAGCGGCTCGTTTTGCTGTCTCGTGGCGGTTTGGCCTGTTTCGGCGTCGCCCATGCTTGGTGTGATGCGACATGTTTTTTGTACGCATGCTTGCCGAGCGACCACCAACAGCCAGCGTGCAGAATAGCAAGCCCTTCAGCGTAGGGTTGCTGTGAGCCCTTGATGGGAGCGATACGTCATGAACTTTGGGTCGCACTCGCCGATCATGTCGTCTGGGTTCACCCAGCGGTGAATTTTTTGGGACGAGAAATCTCGGTGGGCACCATCCTGATTTCTTCAAACTTTCAGGGTGGAGGCCACCCAAAAAGTTGAACCCAGATTTTGTCGACCGAACAAACTGAAGAATCTGGCTGTATAAGAAGCCGGATTTCTGCCCATCCTGAAAAGTGAAGCTTTTTGGGAAAGGAATCCAGGTGTTTAAGAATCAGCCTTATGTGCGTACCCGTTGTTGTTGTTGTTGACTTCACATTAAACCGTATGCCAGTTGCTAAATGCCAAAATCTAGCAAAGACTCTCAGCCCGTGGTCACGAAAGTGCTAGAG